CTTTCCCTAGGTGGCCACGCTCTGCCTTTCAAGTCATAAGAAAGCCGTGGGGATCACGCTCCACTGTCAGCAAGGCCTGGACTGGATGTGGCATAATTATGAAGGAAGACCAGTAATCTGGGGGGCCTTCAGAACAAATACCCACTTTCCCCTCTTCCAGGACACCCTCACACCTCTGCCCTATTTGGGGCAAGTAGTCAGGTGGTGGACCAGGGAACAGGTCTGGCTAACTGATGGATGTTAGCCACGACCACACGCAACGAGAGAGAGCCAGAGTCGGGGGTGGAGAGGGGGCTACCAGGAAAGGACAATGCCTTACCCAGGGCTCTGTCAGAGATCCCTGGCTCTGGGTCTGTTTCTTCCTTGGTGAAATGGATACTATTCTGTAGGTTTCTCTCCCCTGTTGTAAAGATGAAAGACGGTAAGGCTAAAACCAATCTTGCCATTGGAAAAGAAAATCCAGGGTTGGAGGTAGAACTGGATGTCTTCCTTCAGAGCTAGGTGTGCCCATACCTGGGGTGGGGTGGGGCTGCCCTGGATCGCTCCCTCCTCACTGTCAGATAGGGCAGAACCCAGCTGGCCCTGGGCCCCTGGCATTCATCCTGTGAGCCAGGGTCCCATCATTGATCAGTCCCAACTGCCTGAGAACTTCCTGGGGCTGATAAAGGAGCTCAGACCCCTGGCTCTCAGGCCTGGGCTGGGGAGAGCTAGCCACAGTCCACCACACCCCTGGATTTCCACCCTGGAGGCTGCACCTTGGCTCACATCTTTAGGGCTCTGACTTTAACCCCTAGCCCAAGGGGAGATTCCAGCACTGCAAAGCATGCGCCCTAGGCCTGGCCAGTCTCATCCTGATAGCATCCCCAGGATCTGCCCTACTGGCCTGCACAATCTCTAACTCCTGCACTGCTGCGGCTGGACAGCGCCTCCTCCGGCCCCTCAGGCAGGGGCAGTAGGTGCTGCCAGGTTGCCGGTCAGGCCCTCCTGGGCCCCCGTGTGCAGCAGGGGGGTCCCCAAGGAGTGGTGTCCTTACCTCCCTGATCTGAGCGAGGGGCAGTGAAGCAAGCTGGCGCGATCTCCGGAACTCAAGCTGCTGTGGGGGACAAAGTGAAGCAGTGACCCAGGGACAGCTCCCATTCGATGGGAGTGGCTTCTTTGCCCACTCCACTCAGGACTCCCCACCTGGAAAACACTGGAATCTGGGTTGGGTTGCACTGACCGCAATGCATGTCCAGTGCCTTGGTGCTTACCAACTGCTTTCACATTCCCCATTTTGTCAAAGCCCCATAGCCCCCAATGAGGTAGGTGAAGACTATCAGACCTATTTTATAGATGAGGTAGATAGGCTCAGAGAGGCAAATGGATCTGCTCAAGGTCACACTGCTGCTAGACAGCAGAGCCAGGTATAACCTGGAAACCACATGCTCATGGTGGGCAGAGTGGCATAGGCTCTGTGACTTTGGGCCAGTTACTTAATCTCTTTGAACCTCAGTCTTCTCATGTGAAAAATGGGGATAGTGATAGTTCCTATCTTGTTGGGTTATTGTGAAGATTAAATGAGATAATGCTGTAAAACGACCTCGGCATAGTAGTCGCATAGGGACCTGCTCAATAAATAAACGTGAGCAATGATTGTGGTTATTGTCCCAAGAATATTCAGACGCTGTCCCTGTGTAGGCCACGGCCCAGATGAAGCCCTGTTGTTACCTCTAGACTCCCATCTTGTCTCTGTTGGTGTCATTCAAGACCTGCTAAGCTAGGCTCAGGGTCCCAGTGTGGAGAAGCAGGGACAGAGTAGGGCCACTGGACTCCTCTCCAGGGCTGCCAGAAGCCTGTCTATGGCTCTGATTCACAGCCCCATGGCGGTGGCTGCCTGCTTTCTCATGTGGACCTCAGGTCTGCTCAGGGCCAAGCAGGGGCTGAGATTCTGCCCTGAGTCTTTGATCCCTAGAGGTCAAGGCTGAGCATGGGAGCTGAAAGGATCAGGAGTGATCTAGGCTCTCCAAACAAATCTCGGCCCAGTTCAGCCTGGCCCTTCAGGGTCTGTGGAAGCCCAGTTTCCCAGCAAGGAGGCCCGCACATGGGAAGAGCTTGTTCCTTCTCTGTGTGCTGGGCAACCCTGAGACGGGAGGAGGGTGTGATTGTATATATCCAGGTAAGTTTGCCTTGGGGAAGCAGAGGCAAAAGTCAGCCTCAGAGTAAAAGGCACGGGGGTGTGAGTGATCCTGGGCCCAGCTGGAGTGATGCCACCCCCAGGCCCTCAGTCCTGCAGTCTCCTCCGAATTACACCCACCGTTAGCCCTGGGCTTGGACACTGCTGCTTGAGAGCCTGCCTCCTACTCATGAATCCCCTCCAGGACAGGGCCCAGGCCGGGGGCCAGACTCCACCACCGTGCTCTGGGGTCTGCAAGACGAGTCCCAGGTAAGACCTTCCCCACCTCACCTACACACTTTTGTACACCCTCTTCAGGAGCCCTGCCATGAGAAGGAAGGGAGGGTAGTTCTGGCCACACTTCCTGAGACCTAAGAGGTGAGTAGGCATCTCTGTGTCTAAGATGAGCTCTGTGAAAGCTTTGGGGCCTGTGGGGCCGGATCCTTAGCATTTTAAAATTTTATTATGACTGTGTTTGTTTAAATATATATATATTTATAGCTCTATGTGCCCACCGCCCCCGGCTCCCTCCCCGGCCCCTAGTTTTTCCCCTTGGCTTTCTGTCTGGTGGCCACATAGGGCAGCACCGTCTGAGTGCTCTTGTCTGACACCGTTTGGGTGCTGCTGTTTCTTGTGACCCTTCGGGTCTGCTCGGGGGCCAAGGTGGGGTCTGAGCAGCGGCCAGTCAGTGGAGAGCGCCTCGGCTTGGAGGGAGCCGGGGAGGGCTTGAGGGGGACCGCATGGGCCTCTGTGTGGGGAGGCTCCGGGGGCAGGCCCACCTCCTCCTTGCCGTCCCCCTCCTCGTCGTCACAGCATAGAGCATGGTAGAGCACTTTGTCGCTGAATCGCACCCTCTCCCGTGTGCCCGGGGTCCGCTGGGGCAGCTGGCCCTTCACAGGGCCAGCGCTGAAGGCCTCCTCGCTGGAGGAGTCCGGGGTCTCTACCCGGGGCCCGTTGGGGATGGGCATGCTGCCATTCATGAGCCGGTAGTCAGGGCCAGCCCCTGGCCGGGTCGACTCGGGGCCGTCCACGGAGTCTGAGGGGGTGGAGATGTCCAGGAAGGAGCAGAACTCCCAGCTATCCGAGAGGATGTCAGCTGTCATAAAGTCCAGGTGGCCCAGGTCAAAGGGGCCGCCCACGCCCACCTTGTCGCTGCTGGAGGTGCTGCTCACGGTGGCTGTGGTCCAGTCATCTGGCTCCAGTTCGAAGTCGAAGTCCGAGGTTAGCTTATCGATCTGGCTCACCACCTGGCCGGGGAAGGGGAGGGGAGTGAGTGAGAGGGGCCAGGCAGCGGCCAGCATCACCTAGGTGTGAGTGTGCCCCGTCCCACCCTACTACACCCCCCGGCTGATGACCCTACAGGACACGACTGGACTTGAGGTCACCGGTTTGTTTGCCCTGTTGAGGGCCCAAACTGGACCAGGGTGAACAGAGCTGGTTCCGTCCATTCCCCTGGTTCCACTCCTCAGTGCCTTTGGGGGAAGGGGGATGCCTTCCAGCCCTGCACGCTGTCCATTCACACGTCCCTCTGCCCCAAAGCCAGCTGCTCTTCTGGGGGGCAGCCCTGGTGCTCAGAGCTTGATGCTCCTTTGGTTGACAGGGGGCCATTTAAAAGGGGCTGAGAGACTCCAGCAAGGCCACTCAGTGGTAGGATGAGCAGCCCACCCACCCTTGGAGAGGAAATGATACATGGTAACTGCAAAGAAGGCTCTGCCCTGGCTTTCTGAAGCATCCTGGACCAGCCCCTGCCGTGGGTCAGAGAGTGCCCCCCATGGGTCTCTACCACCCCACCCCTACATTGCCCTGGAGCCTCCTCCATCCTCCCCTTCCTTGCCTCTTGATGAGTAAAGATCAATCCTGGTTTGATGGGTAAAGATCAATCCTGGTTTGATGGGGAGGGGATAAAGCAAGCATTATTTGGTAAGCGATAAGAAAACCATCCATCCTGGGCCCAGAACTGCTGGTGAAGTGCCCTCAGGGGCTACAGAGGTCACTGCACAGAGGACAGAGCAAGGGGGGGAGAGGAGATTCAGGCCAAAATCCAAACCAGTAGAACAACAACAACAAAAGCAAAGCGGAGGGACCAAGAGACCCAGAGACAAAGACACAGGCAATGAGTCATCAGACCCAGGAGCTAACTCCCAGCCCTCTCCAGTCCTCTTTCC